CCCCGGAGGCCCCTGGAAGCCCCTCCTCAGGGCTCCTGCCTCTGCCCTCTCCTGCTCCGAGGGAGTGCCACAGACGGCCTCCTTGCCCTCACTCGCTGCCAGGGCTTTCTCCTCCCTGCAGCAGAGCTCCATTGGAGGGAGGAGAAGGGTTGTAAGGGGGAGACACCTCCTGCCCCAGAACTGGGCTGTCTGGTGCCATGCCAGCGTGAACTCTCTCTCTCTCTCTCTCTCCCTCTCTCCATTGACGGTGTCCCAAGGGCTTCGCTCAGGAGTGCCCACTTTGCGCACACGCAGGAGGTGCCTGGCAGCATTCCCAGTTCAACCCTGGCAGAGAGTCAGGGGCCGGGAGAAAGAGGGCTTTCCCAGCGATCAGGAGTCAGTTGACCTCAGACGGGGCCGGGTGGACTCCTGGCCAGATCCCGCCTGGCCAGGAACACAGGTGGCTCTCAGAGGTGGCCAGGCAGAGTCAGGGAAGAGAGGTCCATCCATGGCCACTGACTAAAGGGAACCTCCACAGTCAGTGGCAGCAGCAAACCTCTGAACAACAGGGGACCATTGGGAGGAGTCCTTCGCCTCCAGGGCCTGTTGTTGGGCCTGCTGATGGGCTGCTGTGCGAATCAGGAGGGTGGACGAGATGGACCCTCAGTGGTCTGATCCAGCAGGGCTCTTCTGCTGTCCTTATCAGGGGAAGGCCTCGGCCTCTCTGCCATGTGGTTGGTCCTCCAGAGGAAATGGTTGGCTACTGCGTGAGATGGGATGCTGGTCTAGATGAACCTGATCAAATCCAGCACGCCTCTTCCGAGGTTCTTAGCAGGGGAAGGCCTCTGCCTCTCTGCCCTGTTGCTGGCCCTCCAGAGGAGACGGGAGGCTGTGCTAGATGGACCTTCACTGGTCTGGTCTGATCCAGCAGGGCTCTTCTGATGCTCTGTGATGCTAAAAACGGCAGAGTCTCATGGGCACCTGAAAGTCACCTGCTGTCTTTTGGGTTGTCTTTTTGGTGCCGCACCACCTGTGTTTTTCTTACAGCTACAGACCAGTCCAGCTTCCTTGGGCACTTGTGCTGATCTGAACAGGGGTCCAACCACCTTCTACTTCAGCAGCCAAATCTCATTCCCTGTCGTCCCCCCCCCCCAGTCTGTTCCTGCTTTGCATGTGGCCCCTTCTGCAAACGTCCCTAGTTTCGGTTTCCCTCCGTGCAGCTGGCGAGGAGGAGCTCGTGGCCCCAGCGGCAAAGGAGGGAGGGGACTTGTCTGATCTCTCTCTCCTGTTCTGCTTTATGCAGAGAGAGAGAGAGAGAAAACACCCTCTGGCAACACGCAGGCCTCTGCCTGGCACATGTGGCTGGCTTCGGGTGTTTGGACAACAGGAATTGGTGCCCCCCTTCCGGAGCAAGGACGACTCAGCTGTTCGGCGTTATTATTTCCCACCATCTGGCTGCGCTTTGCTTCTGGCCGGCCTGCCCTTCCCGGCTTTGTCCCCTGTAGGTTTCCTTAGAAGTTCCTGCTGCTGCTGCTGCTGCTACCGCCTTAAGGAAGACTCCAGCTCTGGCCAGAACTGTGGTAGCTGTATCGTTTCTCTCGTCGAGGCAACCTTTCTGTACATTGCAGAATGCGCTGGATGACATTAGTTGAAACCAATGGCCGTTCCCTTGGTGCCTGGAACTTTTGCCCGCTTGGAAGGATGGCTTGGTACGCTCAGCAGCTCACTCGGGAGGGAAAGGGGGACTCCCACTTCAGGAACAACCCTCTCTTGGAGCAGGGAGGGGATCCCGCTGATGTGCCCTTGTGTGGCTGCAGAGCAGTGGGCATGGTGCCCTTGCAAGGCCAGTGCCAAGCTGAAAGAAGTCCCCACAATCGAGACCAATGCGCCCTCTAAGCTGTGGAGTCTCGTGAGCAGAAATTCTACTTTGTGAGCTCCTGGCGTTAAAGTTGTGAGCGAACGATTGGGCTGCTGCATCAATTCGTTTGCTCTGGAGCCGCATCCTTCCTGAGCGAAGACAGAAATGTGTGAGCTGGAGGTTAAAAGACTGTGAGCTGGCTCACGCTAACTCAGCTTAGAGGGAACATTGATCCGGATGCAAAGGGAGTAGAGACGGGGCTGAGCAAGAAGGTGGTACAGGTGAACCGGTCCACAGCCTATTCCCCTTGGATTAGGACCAGTCTGGAGTTGGGGCACTGCTGCACAGAGCGAAAGGAGAGTGCCTGGTGGGACCACCGTCTCCTTGCTCAGGCAGGTTTGTTTATTCATTCAGTCATCTGCACCCCGCCCTTCGCCCCAATGTGGACTTGTCACGGCTCAGGTGGGGTGCCACCAGTTGCTGCCACCACCCTTGTTCCAGGCTCCCTTGAGAAGGCCCAGAGCACCCTCCCAAGACCTTCAGACTTCCCTTTTTGCCGAATAACAGGTGTGAGGACTAGGCAGAGTGCAACAATGAAAATAGTTTATTGTATAGGAGGTCAGACAAACAAGGTGCAGAATATAACAGTAAGTCACGCAGCCCCGTAGCTAGGGACTTTTTTGGGAGGGGGCCACGGGGGGGCGGGGCGGGAGCTAATTTAACCAAAAGTTCCAGAGCAAGTGGGGGGGGGGGTTAATGCCCAGCAGCTGCAGAACTCGCGTGTACACCAACCACTGGGCAGTGAGGATAAGTGGCGGGCTCCCCCGAAGCCAACAGGATAACTAGCAAGTACAGCTACATCAATATAGGTAATCCTCCCCCGGCGGTGGCAGCAGGCCACGTACTCTCTCGGCCACTCCAAACACTTTTCTTTTCTTCTCTTTTCTTCTGGTGACCCCCTTTCCGAGTCCCTTCATTTCTGCTACCTCTTCCTTCCTCTCGGCTCTCCTCCTTTTTTAAAAACTTATTTCCCTTTCTGCCTTTGACTTGGCCCCGTTTCCGCAGGAACCCTGGCCCGAGCAGAGTCTTACCCAGGTCTACTCAAGCTGCCTGACGCTCAGGAAAGTGCTTTTAATATCAGTCCATCCCCCCCCCCTCTATATTTTCTGGCTCAGCCCTTCCGATCTCCCTTTTTACCCAACACCTTTCCTTTCCTAGGAAACCTTGTTGTGTTTGTTTCCCGAGGGACTTTGAGGTTTCGAGTCAGTTTCAATGTGCTGGTCAATTTCATGCTGAGGCTCAGCAGAAGGCCGCTTCTCTCCCCCCTCCTGCTTTTGACATTCTGCATAAATTATCCTCCCCCCCTCGTTAAAAAGAGGTGTGGCTGTCTTCCACCCCGGGTCTTTGCAGCCCAAAGAAGATTTAAGTGGGGGTGTTTCTGAGTCAGGGTGCAAGTGCAGGTGGTGAGCTGAGGCACTTCGGGGACAGCCGGGGAGGGAGGTGGCCCAGAAGAAGCGCGAGGGGGCCGGGCCCCATGGGCCCCGGGTTAGCTACGGGCCTGAGTAAGTGGGTGAAAAGAAAAAAAATCAAATGCCCTAACGTGTCTAAATGTATACTGTCCCTAGCTCACTATTCCAAGTGGCCTTAGACTACTCACCCTTCCCTCAGGATGAGCCTTTCATCCCGCAGCAGCCTTCCTTCTGGCTCTGCCCACTGGGAAGAAGAACAGCTTTTCCTGCTGCACCAGATCTTTTATTCCAAGCCCTCCTCTTTTCCTATTGGTCAGTTTTGGCTCCAAAACCTCCCAGAGGCTTTTGGGAGTTGTAGGCCCAGCCTCACCCACTGCTAGCCAGGCTCTAGGGTTGCCAAGTCAAAATGTCTTACTGGTGGGGGAGCCTTGCCGGGCTCCGGGAGCTGTTTTCTGATGTCAACGTCGATCACGATGAAGGCGTGGCCCCGATCGTCGGAGGGAAAACCATAGAGTGGTCAACGTGATTGACGTGGTTGTGTTACCTCTGGTGACGCAGCCACGCTGCGCTTCGGGGGGCGGAGTTCCCCCCGGGGCCCGATTCTGCAGCGGTGGAAATCGGGCCTCCGAAGCGGGGGGTTACCTGCCCCCCACCCCCACTTGGCAGCCCTACTAGGCTCCCTGGGCCTAGTGGGCCTCTGGTGGCACAGCCCGGATCATGACAGGACTCAAAGCGGTTTACATCATTTTCCTTTCCTCCATTTTATCTCCTCAACAACCCTGTGAGGTGGACTGGCCCAGGGTCACCCAGTGAGTTTCTATGGCACAAGGGGGGGAATTCAAACCCAGGGCTCCCAGATATTAGTCCACTACTCTGAACCGCTACACCGCACTGGCCTAAGTTAAATGGCAGAGCATTGCCGGTCTTGTGCCTGGATACACTTTACGGAGTGGAAGCCATGTGGGGCCAACTGCAGTGCCAACTCACTGGGGAATGTGCCAAACATTCCGTCTTCAAAGGGATGCCAAAGTTGTGCTGGGAGCGCTAGAAGCCTGGGCCCTGCGGCCCCCTCTCTGCTTTTGAGGGCGACCCTGGGATCCCGGATGCTGGCACCTGCGGCCCCGGGGCGCCTGTGCCCACTTCTGTTCACCATGGTCTGGATCGTCTTCTTTACTTCCTGAAATGAGCCCCCCCCCCCCCGGGGGGGAAGGGCCAGAGCCAAATGGGGACTGCTTCTGCTTCCCGCACTTCAGCACCCTTTCTGATAAGTTCCCAGCAATGCTCCCTCTAAGCTGTGGAGTCCTGTGAGCAAGGATCCTACTTTGTGAGGTGCCAGCTCACAAGTTGCGAGCAGGCAGGCGATTTGGCTCCTGCATCGATCAGTTTGCTCTGGACTGGAGCCACATCCTTCCTGAGCGGAGACAAAAACGTATGAGCTGGAGGGTGAAACACTGTGAGCTCTCTCACACCAACTCAGCTTAGAGGGAACACTGGCTCCCCACTCCCAGCATAACGCTGGGTCCCAGTAAAGTCTTGGTGCATAGATGTTTATGAAAGTCCGGAGGGCAGGCACAACTTGGGTGGGGGGGACACTCGTCACCAGGGGCCAGGCAGTGTGGCTTTCCAGGAGGGCAGAGGCCTTTCCGCAGGTGCATGACGCTGGCTGGTGTGAACCTCTGCTGGGGTTTGCTCACCTGAGCCTGCAGAGCCGCCTGGCGCCTCCATGGGGAGGAGGCCTCGGACTTCCTTCCCAGCAGGTGTGAAATGTGCAAAGGCTGCACTGAAGCCATGGCAGCAGGAGGAGGGGAACCAGACCCCTTCCGCCTCCCTAGTCTTTTGCCTCACGTGCCCAAGGGATGGATGGAGGGAGGGAGGCAGGCAGGCATCCGAGGGGGCTCCGCTCGCTGTCCCACCCGATAGCATTTCAGGGCAGGGAATGCGCCCCAGGGCTACGGGAAGGTGTGTTTGGGAGCACTGTGGAATTCCAAAAACGGCCTCTTCTCACATAGCGCGAAATTAACGTGGGGACTTCACTGGTCCTATAGGTTTCCACTTACGCTCTTGGCTCAGAATCGTTTATCAGGGGTGTCGAACTCACTGGAAATGTGTTAAAGTTTTAAAAAATCTTTCATTGTGTTTGTCTGTGTCCTTTATAAAGTTTGTCTCTCCACTACCTGGCATTACCTTTTTTGACCCACATGGCCCGGCCCAACAAGGTCTCATTTATGTCTGATCCGGCCCTCATCACAAATGAGTTCCACACCCCTGGCTGAGATAGCTCACAAAGGGGACTAAGGAGGTGGTGGGCTCTGTCCCTCACTGCGAGAACAGCCCAACGGAGACCTCCCCCTCTTGGAATGTCAGCAGCACGGGGGTGGGGGAGTGGCTGCGGCCCCCACGTCCCACTTGCAGACCTTCTGGGGGGTGCCTGGCCACGGGGAGAAAGGGGGCCGGATGAGGTGGGCCCCTGATCCCGCTCGGCAGCGCCTCTCTGACCGTCTCAGGGGCTGCGGGTCGTTCTTCAGGGCCAGGGTGGTGTCATGGTTAAGAGTGCTGGACAGGCATTTGGGAGACCCAGGTTCAAATCCCTGCTTGTGCCACGGAAGCCCGCTGGGTGACCTTGGGCCAGTCCCCATGCTCTTGGCCTGACCGGCCTCACAGGGTTGTTGTGAGGATAAAAGGGAGGAGAGGAGGAGGACCGTAAGCCGCTTTGGGTCCCCACTGGAGGGCAGAGTATAAGCAAAGGAAGGAAGGAACTTCCTTCCCGAGCCTCGAGGACGGATTTACAGAATCCCAGAAAATGGCCCTCCGAAACCCACTCGGGGGACGCCGAT